CTCGTTCCTCCTCTACCTATATCTCTATTAGGGTCTTGTTTTAACATGCCTGAGTGTCGTAGAGACGAATTGTACTCTAGGTACATAAATTCTTTTCAATCTTATAGAATCCGGGAAGAGCGTATTCCTTCTCTTCAAGCTATAATAGATATTGACTTTGAATACCTTTCGATTCTTAAAGCTTGGAAGTTTGATAAAATGTTTCAGCTCAAACCTATCGTTTATCAACAGTTAGTCCGCATTTTCTATTCCAATGCGGTATGTATTCAAAACGAAACTCAATGTGGGACTATAACCATTAGATCCTATCTTTTAGGCCAATATATTAATATTGACCCCGAGACTATAACTTTCCATTTTAGGTTAGATGATGATGGGTCATATAATGAGAATGAAAATGTGGAATATCCCTATGTTCCAAATTCTAGTGTTAGTACTCTACGATCTCATCACGATCGTTTTCTTCATTTGATGATCTCTTGGTGGTTTAGACCATCCGGAGGTAGGTACTCCAGTCTTCATGCTAGGAATTTATGGTGGATGCACTATATTAAAAATAAGATCAAAATAAATCTGCTCCACATTATTTTTAGTCAACTAGTGGACATCATAAACATTGTTCCTTCAAAACATGTCGAAACATTCATTTATGGATGTCTTCTGAGTAACCTCTTTATCAAACTCGGTCTGGACGTCTCTCTCGACAATCCTATCCCACTCCAAAATCAAATTAATCTTACTTCCTTGAAGAAAGCAAATTGGAAACAAGACGAGGAAACCGGTCTTTGGGTATTTCGACCCGATAAGCAAACTCCGAGAGCTAGTTCTTCACGAGCTGCTCCTAGCTCTTCTCGTGCTCCTCCTCCTCCTCCAGAACCGGCTGTTGATGATGATCCTGAGTTTCAACAACTTATGAAAGATATCGACGATCACGTTCCAGATGATGAGCCTGCACCGGAATCGGCATGACAAGTAGATCAGATGCCACCATATTTTCGATACTTCTTGGAGTCGTTTGATCTGAGGTTTGCCTCTATGGAGTCTCAGATTACTAAGTTTCAGCGGGAGATACGTGAACGTATGGACGCTCTCACTCTTGAAGTTCGAGATCATTATCCTCCTTCTCCCGATCCTCCGATGGAGTGAATTTGTTTCCTTGGTTTTTTGGTTTTTCAAACTTGAATTGATTTTGATGTTTCTGGATGTTTAAATTTGATGGTTGTTGGATATTTTGAACTTATTTGTTGTTTTATGGATTTTTTTGAACTTAATATATATATATATATATATATATTTGGTTTGAATTTTTATTATGAGCTTAATGTTTATTAATTTATTTTTCATCATTTACATACTAGTTACATTATGACCAATTATGCCATTTCACATTTGTTTATGAATATTGATTATGAAACTAATGGCTAATCTCTCTTTTGATTGTGATCTTAGCAGCTTAAGCTATATATATATATATATATATAATCAAGTGGCTATGCTTTTCAAAACCTTGTTTAAAACATTTTAATGTCTTTTTGATTTAACAAAAAGGGGGGAGAAATATTAAGTGTTAAAAGGGAGAAGTGTTATAGTAAGGGGAGTAATTTTTCAAAATTGATTTCAAATTTTTAGAAAATCTTAAAATAACACAAATGTTTTGTTATATCAAAAAGGGGGAGATTGTTGAAAACATTTTTGTGTTTCGATATAACAAATTAAGTTTAAATGAATTTTAAGATTTTACAAATGATTTTCTAAGTGTATTCGATTTAATTAATCGAATATCAAATTATTACTCCAAGTCTTTCAATATCAATTTCAAACCTTACTAAAAGTGTAAAAATTATGTAAATATATTTTTGAAACAATTTTCACAAAGTATTTTGAACCAAAATTAAGCCTAAAATCAATTTTTCAAAGTGATGCACAAATGCACCAATCCATGCATCGATGCACCATGAATTAAATTGAACATCGAATGCATTTCATGCATCGATGCACATACCATTCATCGATGCACTGAGGATTTTATGAAAACATCGAATGCATTTGATGCATCGATGCACTCTAGCTATTTTGAAACATCGAATGCACTTGATGCATCAATGCACTCTTAGTGCACCGATGCACTAAGGGTCCAACGGTCAAAATATTTGAATTTTACACTGATGCACTGATGCACCATGGGTATGCATCGATGCACTGACGCTCCCAACTGTTTTAATTAATTGTTTTCACACTTAAACGGCTCTATTGACTCCACTAAGCATCCCCAACGTTCAGAATCATTTGAAGGTGTATTTAAACAAGCTTAGAAGCTATTGTTCAATAACAAGAAACAACAATCAACAAGAATCAAGAGAGAATCAAAGAGAAAGCATCAAACCTCAAGTTTGAGCATTTCAAGCCTATTTTTCATTCAATATTCATTTCGCTTTCAAGAACACTATACTCAATTGTATTCATTTTTTAGTGTTCTTTTCTTTGTTCTAGAATTGTGCAAACAATCTACCTTGTGAGGATTTCCTTGTAAGTTTGCAAATTTGTAATCTTCTCTTTGAGAAAGAGTGTTCTCAAGAATTGGGGTATATTCTTGAAGGAGTTGTAAGGTTATCTCTTTGGCCTCAAAAGAAAGAAAAAATTAGTGAATTTGTTGAAAAATCCTTAGTGCGGATAGCTAAGGTAGTGGACGTAGACTTTGATTGAGAAAGTCGAACCACTCTAAATCGTTGTGCAATTACTTTCAATTTTCTGCAAAAGCTTCCACCAAAATTTTAATTGCCAATTCACCCCCCTCTTGGCCGATTCTGTCGATCGATTAACTCAACAATATTTTTGATGATTTTCATGCGTATTTTCTAATAAAGATAAGTACGAGCAATAAGGAGCCATCGAAGCATCTTTTTGGAAAGACATACATATCATCAGTATCAGTAAGACATATATGATGTTACTTTTGACTTTTAGTGGCATGTAATTATGCAGTAGTTCTAATTATCGTAGTTATTTTAAATAGTCTTAATAGTAGCGATAACTATTTTAATTTATTTAATTAGTTTAGTTTTATTAGTATTTATGCATAAAAAGAACATATTATATTATGTTTTAAAAAGATTTCACGAAAAGACATGGTTTGCTAAAATTAATGATCAACAAATGAATTTATTTTCCTACAACAAATAAATTATTTATAAGTTGAGATAATCATAAAATCGATTTTAAAATTAAAATAAAAGTGTTTTAAAATGAAACAAATTTTTATTTAAATTTCAATTCAGTAAGAGTTTATGAGTTGATATGACATCTTTGTCTCATATATCGAGACGTATACGGGTCAAAGGTGTTACATTTATATTATAATTAAAATAAAAGAACTTCCTAAGAATATTGAAGATAAAAAACAACTTCAACAATTTTTAGGAATAGTTAATTATGGAAGAAACTTCTTTCCATAATTATCTTAAAAAATAGGTACGTTATACGATAAATTAAAAAAATGATGTACCCTTTTCCTAGACTAATCAAGATTTGGAAATAGTTAGAAAATTAAAATATGAAATAATAGATGTTCCAAAAATTTATCTACCTAAACAAGGTGATGAATTAATATTAGAAACAGATGCCTCATAAAAACATTGGGATGTGTTTTAAAAGCCAAAGCAATGGATAATCAATAATTAATATGTGGATATGTATCAAATAAATTTAAATCGAATGAAATTAATTATGTAATTTTTTAAAAAGAATTGTTAGCCATAAAAAAGTATACAAAAATTTCTTATTTATTTAGCACATGAGTAATTATTAATAAAAACTTACAACCAAACAGTTAAATAATTTCTCACCAATAAAAAATGGAGAAAATACCAAGAAAAATCAGATGTTATAATGAATTATGTACATTTAATTTTGAAGTTTTATATAAAGGCATTAACAATGTTATTGTTGATTTTCTTAGCATGTCTAATGGATAGAAGAAAAAGACTTCTAGAAATAGTAGGAGAATGAACAACCATTTAAAAAAACCCACCCAATAAAGGGATTTTGAGACAACAAAATCCTAACCAAAGATTTGTGTTAGTACATCCTCCTCTAATATATTATCCTAACCAAGGATATTATATTTCCTATCCAAAAGGAGTTGTACAACAATTTTCGATGACTCTTTCAGTAAGCCAACTACAGTAATCATAAGATCCAAATTCAGTATATCAAGAAAGCTATGCTGAAATTATAAAAAAAAGGTTGAAACAATGTAGAAACCACAACAGTCAAAAATAAAAAAAGGTTTTTATAATCCTGGTTTAGAAACAAAAATATATAATTTGATTAATGGGATATGGAAAAAATCATATCATTAATCAAAAGAAAATTTTTGAAAAATCTCTTATTATACTTTCAAAAACTTTATTTCAAAAAACAACTGAATCTTAAGAATTGTTATTGAGGTCTAACATATACAGAGATCGATTTATCCTAAAAATATTTTTTTAATAATAAAGGAGATAAACAATCTTCTTGATATATGTCAATACTTTTTTTTGATAAAAAGAAAAAAAATCCTTGTGGTGGCACGTTTTGTACTTTTATTTATTACTGTTTTCCTTCACTTTAAGGCTCTGATAATTTTTATTCTTCTTGCATGTTATCCAAATTAATGGTCTCAATTTGTCCAAGTGTAAAGATAGCAGTGACAATAATGGTGATTTCCAGTTGTCTCACGAGCAATTTATTCCTTCAATTATATTGTTTGGGTGGTCCTCAATTTCCATGTCAGTCATTTTTTGTAATAACTTTATGGCTTCAATGTCTGTTGTGTTATCCATTCTAAACACAACATGCTAGGAGAGAACTAATTCTCTTTTAAGTTTTCTTTAGTAAATAGTGAAACTAATTCTTTTAAGTTTTCTTTAGCAAATAGTGAGATTTCGGTTAATCCTCTTTTTCTGTCTTTAGCTACGGTATTTCCACTGATTTTTACATATAATTTCATTATATGTAAAATACAAGTATATGCTAATATTGTCGTTAAATAGAATCTTAAAAGATCATATCCATATGTCCAAGATACGAGTGTCGAAGCAACATAAGCAAATTTCGGCAATATAATTATAGATTAGACGCCCTAAAGCCTTAACCTTCGTCCAAAGTCCATTAAGTAAGGTCAAAAGTTTCGAGTTTTCCGGAGTTTCAGTTTTAGGAAACAATATCAGTTGATGAATGTTGGCGGGTGGAGGCTGAAAAGTTACAAGATTAAGTTACAATTTGTGTACCCACTCCGATCGAAGTGGCTCGGCTAGCTGTGTCGAGGCTTTGATATGTCCTCAATCAAGCCTTTCCCATCCATGGCATCGAAGAAGAAGAAATTCTTGAGAGGATCCCCTTTGCCTGATATTGCTTTGATCACCTCCTACATCATTGAAAGGTCAATTGCATAGAGTTAATACAGTTAGAGTCGTAATTGATAGTTTCGGTCTTTTGATTGATAGAGGGAGAATAAAAAGGGCAAAAATCAAACCTGTCCAAGGATTCCTCCAATGACGGCACAAACTGGAGGGAACTCACTTGTACCTATTAGCAGTCTTTCTAGGAGTGCATCGGGTACCTGAGACTCGTTCACTGACTGCAATAAATTTTTATAATGCAAGTATGAATATATGCCACGCTGCTAGATAATGATGATGACAAAATGCCCGGTACCATACATTTGTTTCACAAAGTTCCTTTCTGAGCTTCAGAACACCAGGAAGATCAGCGATTGATGTTTGTCCTGCATTACGACCTTCAATATCTTCGAATTGCTCTATCACTGTAAGAAGAGAGGCAACTATGTGATCCATTGTATGACTATAGGCACGTTAAAATGGTTCATCAAGAGGCAAGCAAGCATGAGTGAAAGGGAAACCTAGGTTTGCCTGCAATCATCGTAGTAAACTACTCATCCGATCCGAATACTACTTGATTTTGATTTGTTTTCCCCTATTTCTTGCCCAGAAAGCAAAAAATTATATTTAGCATACCTCTCATACCAAAGTAAAGCTTTGACACTCTCTTCGGAAGTGCTTTCCAAGGGGCTGCAATGGCATCCTGCAGTAGAACGGATTGTACTTAACAGAATATATTAATGAAATGCACACATTTAAGATGGCATATTATTACATGCTAAGTTCACGACATTGAGGACAGCATTGCACATTATGTTCTATGGTTCTAATCATTGTTTAGAACAAGTCTATCACATACCTCAAAGCTCGGGTATTCTAGTTGGCATTCAATGGTTTCCTCGAGCTTTTTCTGTCAAAAGAAATAAAAGCAAGAATACAAGCTTACACATTCGGTCAGAAAAAATAGGGTACTTAACCGTATTAAATGCTCATCATACAAATCATATGGCACAATTTAGTGTTAAACCAACTAACAAGCAGAAAATATATGAGAAGCACAAGAAACAATTCATGACAAAAACCAAGTTCAATAGAAATTCCCACAGAAATCCACAAGATTAGCACCAACAATTGCATTTCTAATTCATGAATCCAGAACTATTCTCTGTCCTTTCAGTTTCTACAACGAGTTCGTGTATGCTGTACAAGATGCAGAATGCAAATTGATGTGCAATGGTTAGTAAAGAATTAGCACTAGTTAAATGAGTGATATTTATCACCTTTGAATATTTATAGTTCTTTAAATCAACAAATATTTCACCGCAAGAGCCTCTACAGTCCACGGTATAAAATGATATACGCTTGGGTAACTTCCGGCACTTCTGATTGATCAATTTCTGCAATTGAAGGTGTCAGTTAGGCACCAAAATAAGCTTGGCACATATCAAAGACATATCATCTACAGGCACTAAGATGCATCGGGAATTATATTAGCTAATACTTTTTTTGCAAGAGAGCAGCAACTTATGACCACAGCATCGAACTTTTCGAAGAATTCAACACCGAATGTTGATATGTCACCTGCAAGCCCCACAAAAGAAGGAGATGTCACTCTACGGCTAACCAAAATGCACAAAGTTTATGAACCATAAGATAAACAAAACCACAAAGCAGATGGCCAAGAAAAAAGGGGAAAAAACCTAACCTTTTTCTACAGAAACATGAACCATGGGGTTGAATTCTTTCAAAGAATCACAACAGGCCTCAGCAAGAGTTTTCCCATGGGACAGATTTTCATCAGGCAGTATCAAAAAATTTGCGGACAAAGCTGAGTCGGTAACTGCATGGTCATCCATCAATGTCACACTACCAACTCCTGCCAGTACAATGTTCTTGCAAAACTACCCACACCCACAAGTTTAAACATATATTAATTATTAAATAGAAAACACAAAATAATGCAATAACAAAAGACCTATATTTGTGACAATTAGGCTGTGAATGAGACACTTGAGTTCACGTGCAACTCGAGATAGCCTTGAAACAGAACTTTGATTCAGCTTGTTCATTATCGTGCTTGAGCACCTTAAGTAAGCCGAATTCAAGTAACCTGCTGCTTGACTCAAGCAGCTCGAGAGCCTAATCGAGTTATTCTTTTAAATAGTACGGAATACCCCAAATTGGACATGAAAACAAGTATAACTAATCAAATTTGGAGTTTAATTTGGCTAGATAAATGAGCTTCATTGAGCTAATTTAGCATTTGAAACCTTACTAAAGTGAATAGAACTCATATTCTAAAAAAGGTGAAGACACCGTACCTCAGCAACAGTCCCTTTCATTCCATAAACTAGTATATGAGATTTGCTCAATCTAAAACAAACAAAAATACTCATATGATCGAAAATTAATAATAAAATAAAATAAAATAGAATAAAATTACCTTCTTTGAGCATCAGCACCCCAAACCCTAATTTGTCGATCATAAAGAGCAGTCTCCTGCTCTGTCAACTCCTCCCCGTTCATATCAACCTTTAAAATTTGAATGCCAAGGAAAAAAAACACACAAAACTCAGAATAAGTAGAGTAATACAAACCCTAGAACCCAGAATCAAGCTTGGAAAACAAAGCAAGTTTGAAGCTTTTGAAAGCGTAATATTAAGAAGAATGAACGGGCGGCCAAGCTTTGATTCTCTCTATGTTTGAGTCAGCGCGAGCGGAGAAAATTGATTGCTTGTTTGTGGGTTTCGGCCATTAACTCGATTCAAGATTAGTTTATTTGTAAAATTGGGCCTCGATCTATGACAGTCCAAGCTGAAATATGTGTTTTTTTCATTCTTTCATAATGCACCAAATCCTAGAATATCATAATATGTTTAATATTGGTTTATTCTGCAATTGACTGTTTGAAATTGATGTTTTTTTTTAAAAAATGGTACGTAAATATTGTCTCAAATTAATATTGGATTTATAGAAATGTTCTCAAAATGATACTTATATTAACAGTCAATTAATTGTTGATATAAGATCCATTAATTAAAATATTAATATTATGAAGTGTCACATGCCACAACTTAATTGGTTGTTAAAATTTGATATCAGTATCAGGTATTGGTTCAAGAACTTCATTTTAATAAAATACCAGTTTTATTTGATAAAGAAAAAGTTGGAAAATTATTCATTTGTGTTCATATGATTTGATAAAATACAAAATACTTAGAATTTACCACACCTTGCCTGGATTTAAATTTCCAAAATCAAAATGAATTTCTGGTACAATGGAATCTAACAGAGTTGTTGAAAGTAATGATGATAATGTCATTCGAAAATGATAATAAGCTTTACAAAGCAATATCCAACAAACCAATGAAATGAAGAAATGTAAATTGATTATGATATAATATAACAAAACAAAGAATAATTCATGTATTTTGCTAGTCTATGCCTATTTGTTACTTGAATATGTTTTTTTTTTTCTGTCAAAATCACCCAAAAATCCAAAAAAATGTGTTTTTTCTGTCAATAATACCCTGGAATTGACACCACTTGAATAATAATAATGTGAAAGATACTGGAAACTTTATAAATGCCATCATAGTCATCACAAGGGGCAAACCACAGTGAAGTAAACAATTAAAGTGGTAAACACAGAAAAAAGATATTAATTCACTTGCAAACTATTTCCATTTCACTGGACACACGCAGCTACAGTGGTCTTTTTTAATGATGGAATGCATGGATAAACAACAGAAAAGATTCTTGTTTGGCTGCTTATTGCCTTTAGGCCTGTAAATGAACTGAACGTTCAACGAACCGTTCATGAACCGTGCGACGGGAAGTTTATTTATGTACGTTTATTTATTAAATGAACGAACATGAACAAGATTTTGTGTTCGTTTAATTAAATGAACGAACATGAACATAAATCTCGTTCGTTCATTTACGTTCGTAAACGTTCGGTTATGTTCGATCAGTTATGTTCATTTATATTCGTTCAGTTATGTTCGTTTATGTTCATTCATTTATGTTTAACCCAATCTTCTTAAATCAATTTTGATGACCAATTTGTAAGTATCTTAAAAATATTAATTAATCTGATATTTTGATGACCACCTCCATAATTAACTCAATTTTATTAGGAAAACCCAATGTAACACCACAACCCGTACCTGACCCGACTACGAGTCCGAGATGTCACATTGACTTTTCAAAACCTTTACTTGAACAAAATAGTGAATACTTTTTAAAACTTTTACTAAATACAATTGACTAATTTACATAAATTAGTATCATATGATTTTACAAAAAGCAATTCGAGTATATCGAATTCAAATTTTTATTTACATGTCAAATACATATATTTTGATTTGAACTTTGTAAAGGAGATATTGACCTGTCTTGCTCCCCATGCTCTCTATATTTTTCGAACCAACGTGTGAAACAATAAAACGCTAAGTCGATGACTTAGTGAGACAAATAAAACATATAATAGAAATCATAAAACATTCCATATAACAAACCACATGAACATTTAATACTAACTTATCATACAAAATCATATAACAATTTCATACAAAATCACACACCTTTTTATATAACAAATACACTCATGTACATATATCATCATCTACTTTCTTAGCATTATCATATATATTATTTAACTATTTCTATCATTATCATCCAATTATTTATCACATGATCTTGTACTTATCATATATGTATATCATATCACACTAGGGATGGCAATGGGTCGGGTCGGGTCGGGTTTTTGGGCCACCCGACCCGACCCGAGAAGAAAGGGTTTTTCACCCGTGACCCGACCCGACCCGACGAAATTAAGGTTTCACCCGACCCGACCCGACCCGAATATGACTTAGAAACCCGACCCGACCCGAAATAATAAAAAAAATTTATTCAATGAAACAATGACTTAATTGAAAAAAATTATATATGGAGGGACATTATTGTAATTATCTCTAAATATAGGATAAAATTATATATTTTCGGGTCGGGTCGGATTTTTTTCACCCTAAACCCGACCCGACCCGACCCGAACAGTACATTTAAAAAAAACCCGACCCGACCCAACCCGAACCCGAATTTTTTTAAAAAAAATCCGACCCGATCGGGTCGGGTCGGGTCGGAACCCGTCGAATTCGGGTTGAGTTGCCATCCCTATATCACACATATATCATTTCACCAAGAAACACCCATAAATCATAATTCCTGTAACCAAAAGCACATACATTATATATATATATTGTATTCATGTTATCTCTTTGATTAGCCCATGGTACACTTGTGAGAACTATAGATATGTAAGTCTATAGAGGTTGTGCATTAATGTTGTCACCACAGCTCGTATAAATGCACCGAAGTGCCGCGTAGAAATGCACCGTAGTGCCATATAATGTCCATAAGAACCACATAGAAATTCCTTAAGAATCATATACATATACCAAGGACCAAGTATGTGTCTCAAAGACCTCATAAATGTTCCAAAAAATATACATATGTCCCGAAAGACCGCGTAGACCCTCGACTCTTAGCATGCCAACTATACCCCTAACTCTCATGACACATAACATGGGCATTATCATTTATTTCATTTCAAATATTCACATAAACATGTAATTCACTTTCACATATCACGTATCACATAACTCATAGTCATATGTCTTATCTCATAACATATACATGTTTTCGCCTATATAATTCATATCATTTATTATACCATCACATAATTCATTTAACATACATATCATGTAACATTATAATAGAAATACCTATAAGTCATATCACTTAGATTTCATATACATCTAGTCACATAGATCACTTTTGCATAACTTATATCCACATATTATCTACATGTATACCCAAGAATCAAATGGCATATACCAAATCATATAAATATATATATATTATATATATATATATATATATATATATTTATGCAATCATGTTACTTATACTCACATGAATCCATATCATAGAGCTTAGTTCCCTTGTACATGTTATCACACCGGTATATAATCTTATATCAATCCTATAGGTAAAAGCTATTTATCTTTATCTCATTTTCCCTTTGTATCAGCTTATATGATTTATTATACTAACATGTACAATAACATATAACCCTTATCACTTATCTCACGTTATTTAATTATGAATTATTCTATCCATTTAATTTAGTTCTATATAGCTCCTGTAACCTTCTCATAAGGTTTTATAGTTCTTCATTTTATAACTTCTATATCATAGTTTTCTTTTAAGCATATCACTTTTTCCTATAGTGTTTATCCTATAGGTTCGTATCATCGTTATGTTCATGTCCCCTAATTTATATATATACCATTTTCATAAAGTCTCTTAATTTATTATCTTCTGATTTATATATTATTCTCTTAAATATTCTCATATTACTCTATAGTCTGGTCTTATTTAACTCATCACCCATCTCATGTAGTCATAAATATATTATATTGATTCTCATAATTAATCACATATACCCTGTAACATGTATGATCATCCATCATATAACTTATTTCACTTCCCATGCAATCATATAGATCATTCATATTAGATCCTATAACTGATCACACTACATGTATTCACACAAATCATTTACACCTACTGTAATTTATATATATACTCAAATCAAACATACATATGATCATAAATTCATACATTATAATAGGAAATAGTCTCGTCGCAAGTCTTATTTCCATTAAACATCATAACTAACTTGTATGCACTCAACTGGCCTCGTTTGCTTCGAATCAATCCTAATCCTTAGTTTGTTCCGGAACAGCTTTCATTCATATCTACATAATTATACATTTATACTTATCAGTATACTAATTGATATATTCGAAACTATCACTCCTTCGGCTAAGAGAAAAGTCAATTTCATCTTTTAATGAAGGTATGCATCGATGCACTGCACAGTGTATCGATGCATTCCCTAACGATGCATCGATGCACTACTTGTGCTCGGTGCATAAATACATTCGATGTTTGTTTATTTGAGAGTGCATCGATGCACATTGAATATGCATCGATGCACACAACCTAGAAATTCATTTTAAGCACGAAATTATTCAACTCTTCCTTCAATTCTTCTATTTAAGCCTCTATCATGTCCTTAAACTCAACTACCATTACTTAAACCAACTTATATCCATATAAACCATATTTATCTTCTATATCTCATCATGATTCTTAAAATTAAGAATCTTACTAAATTTTCAACTTTGTTAAATCCTTTCTAACTTCATAAATCTCTTATTTTTATTGATAACAAGTTAAATTCCTTCTCAGAATTCACTTATTAACTCTTTTCTAACATTTCCTTTAAAAACTCATTTTTTTATCTTTAATAACTTCTTCATCTTTTGATTTTAGGACAACTTAAGCTTCCATAAACTTAAATATACCTAAGGATCAAAACCCACTCTTAAAATTAACAAATAATCAACTAAAGGAATCTTACCTTTGCCTTGGAGCTTTCACGGGAGGAAGAAGAAGATGAAGAAGAAAAAGAGAGAAGATTTCTGGAAAAATCTCTCATGCTTATCCATATATATATATCATTATTTTATCATCTCTTGGTCAATGACCCTTTTGCCCTTTAATACCTTTATAATTACTAGCATCTTCAAGGTAATATTTTCAAATAATTAACTGAACTTTTCAACTATTCCACTTTAATCACCAATTCTGAAATATTACAATTTGGTCACTAACCAGGTATTAAGGATGTTACACCCAACAATATTAACATGGTTTAATTCTTTTGAACGATACATAAGCTGCATACCCAGCACCGTCAACATCCACTGCGTCGGAACCCTGTGACTGAGCCACCAACTGGTTACGATGAGTAAAGAGTCCCAGAAACCGGTTGCTTTCGAAACCAATTCCAAAGGTGATGGATTCCGGAAGGGATGTTAAGTATTAAGCATCGTTTCTTTAGTCAAATAATCTTCTTTTATTTCATTTAAAATGGAGTATTCAAATTTACAAATAAATAGTGATCAACCAGCAACTCAAGTCAGCTTACTTTGAACTCAAGAACCCAATAATGGTAAGGCCTTATTCCATAGGTTGAGAAGTTCTTTAACCGTTTCATCAAACAAATTTTGTGCACCATCCGGATATGGAAGTTTAGCCAACCTACTTCTCTCATCTCCCAATTTTTAACTTCTACATAACACGAAGCAAGGACATGTTTGTTTGATCCTAAGGATTAAGGTCGGCAATCACATGAAACACAATCTGTGTTCTCTCGACTGTTGTTGAAGGAGATAGGAAGAAAGAAAGTGGAGGAACGTTATGCAATCCCACATCAGTAGCAAACAAGCAGCTCGAGGTTGGTAACTTATATAAAAGATAGGGGAGAATAGGTTTAAGCATCTTTGCGCCTGGGCAATGTCGAGCTTGAATCGAGCTTGAATCGAGCTCGAGTCTCGAGTTTTAATCGAGCTCTTAATTTTTTTTTAGTTCGAGCATTTTTGAGTTCGAGTCGAGTTTCAATATTATATTTCGAGTTCAAGTCGAGCTGATAATTTTAAGCTCGCGAGTTTTCAAGTCGAGTCGAGCTGACTTTGAAAGTTTTCGAGTTCGAGCTCAGCAATACTCGAGCTTGACTCGGCTTGTTTACACCCCTAGGTAGGGTCTCTAACGTTTATGTTCGTTTATGTTCGTGTTCATTTATCTTCGTGCTCGTTTATGTTCGTGCGCGTTTATGTTCGTGCGCGTTTATGTTCGTTATTATTAAATGAACGAACAGAACAAGTTATATTCCTTAATAAACGAACATGAACAATAAAATTTTGTTCGTTTATGTTCGTGTTCGTTTATGTTCATTTATTTATTAAATGACGAACATGAACATACCTCCGTTCGTGTGCGTTCGGTTCGTTTACAAGCCTGATTGCCTTCCAAGGAAAACTCGGGGAAGCCGTATTACGGGAAAATAAAATGAAAGGGAATCATCAAATGTTTATTCCAAGAGACTTCTTTAACTTCTCAACTTCTAAATATGTTGTTAAGTACGGAAGGAACTCTGAGAAATGTTCTTTGCTTAGATCATTGATTGCTACTGCAAGTTAGGGATTTCTAAGGTTTCCGGGAATCTGTTAGGGTCACACAAGGCCTTTTCTCACCAATTAAATGACCTCTATCCGCAACAAGAGATAAAATGAAAATCCAGAAGACAAGATTGTTGTTATGTTAGAGATTGGCTTGCAAAAATTATCCATTCTTTAAAATAATTTTACCTGTCTTTGCACCCATGCACCATATAACTATATCCAAGCAAATCACACAATCATATCAGTGCAAAAGAGAAAGAGCACTGAGAGTATCCCTTTAAATGTGATAGTTCTGTACATTTATGAAAGCCATTAGACCATGTTGGGGATCTGAAAAACTACATTTCTGCTGTTCGGGCAGTAATTCCAGGAGGCAGGAGCATTACCCTGTACATAACTATGTTTTCAGACAGATTCATAATCAATTATTTAAAACTCCATATTTCTGAAAGGGGATCCCAAATTGAATCAAAAGAGTGAGGGTGTCCTTGCTTTTATATAAATAAGATAACCTTAGATGATCCTAAGCTACGAAACAACTAAAACCCACAGTAGCTACTATAGGCCTCACGCTGCACTATGAAGAACATGGACCAAGAACCATGTTTATGGCTAAGAGTGATCACTGTTGCAATCACTTTTTTGTCTCTCTGAAAAGAAAAGAAACTTTTACGCCTTGATATACATTCTTAGCAACTACGAAAGCAGCATTATAGATCACATTTCTTTTACCCTTCTTTTTCATATTATACTTGGTGTTTCATCGAGCGGTAACCACTCCTAATTCTAGCAGCTATAACACCGATATTCCGCCTACCAATTCTCTCATTTTCAGCTTCATTGAATATATTAAAATATAATGTACAAATCTCAATTAATTATATCCTTAACTTCTTGATCTCGTTGCAATTTTAAATTAACACTAAAATCCAATCTAATTCAAGCTAAATTTGATCATAAACAAGCCCAAGAAGCCCTAAACCCTAAAATTTCTTTCACCAAATGTTTCAAAAATCTACAAGTATAAGAATTGAATGGATTACCGGTCGGCGAGGACCAAGGTTGCGTGAATGACGCAGCGTTCCCGGACATTAGAACAGAACCCAACGGTGATCTTGTTGAGATCGCCACGCAGGACGCAGCCATTCCACACGGAGGCTCCGTCGTAGACGGTTACTTGACCGGCCAAGACAACGTTGGGAGCAACATAAGCATCGACAGCTACCTTAGGGACCCACTGGCCAAGAGGGATGATCTTTCTTTGACCCCTGTAGTCCCACTTCACTCGATCCGACGATGGCGATATCGTTTTGGCCGCCTCCGTGGCGAAACTACGGGAAGCGATGACATTACGGCAGCCAGAGAAGGCCGAGGCCGCGGCTTTTCTGGAGAAGCGAGCTGCGATAGATGTCGCCATTGCTGATGGTAATTACGGTAAACGATTCAGAGCTGAGAGAGAGTGGATTCGGAGCTTCAACAAGGGAAAAGAGAAAGGAATATAAGCCCAAACCCCAAATCAGATTCTTTTTTATGGGCTTTCATGCAAGCCCAGAAACCTGCCAATCGTGTCCATTCGTATTTCGTACAAGTAAAAATCGAGTACGATATAACCTGGAAACTGGTTCTTAATTTATTAAAAAAAATATTTTATACATTGATAATTAAAAAAAATGTAAACTCTAACTATGAATTTCAATTTTCTAACTCAAACGGTCGACGGCCATATCCGACCATCATTGTCATCGTCAAACGTTTGTGTTTTGATCGGAATTGCACGGTGGTTTTAATGGTGGTGGCGGTGTGGCTTGTGGACGTTGAAATTAACGAAAAACAGTGATGGTATATGACGAACCTTTGAATGCTTCTCCCCAACAAACAGTGGCATATTATGACGAAAGGTCAACAAGGGTTTGATCTGGACATAGCTCGGACACTTATTTTTATATTAAGCGATTTGAATATGATACCTTTTGAAGGGTATGTGATTAATTACATTTTTATAATTACTAAATAAACCTTCTCATTACCAAACTTAAATGTCCAATTATGTATTAGGTAGGTTTCTCATTCAGATATGGAACTGCCATTCTTGGCAATTATAGTAAATATTAGGTAAGTTCAAGGCATTTGGCAACCAACAAACATAATTTCATGATAGAGTTAGATTTTTATTTAAGAAAATAAATAAAATCCAATGATTTCTTTCATACAAGAAATTAAGATTATAAAGTAAATGCTAGCTATACAGACCATTAAATTCATGAACAATAATCAATTAATGAGGATTAATGATTAATCACTAAATAATTATTGAAATACTGAATATTATGATATAAATATCATGAAATGGTTGTAAACAATATGATGTATTTGAAAAGCTAGTAAGTGATTAGATTTAGGTGTTATTGATTAATTGTAAAGTTTTGATATGTTTCAATAATTATTTTAAGAGAAAATAACCTCAGTGACAAAAAATGTCTTATAATACGATTTTAACCAACTTTTTTGGATTTGCCAAAATGACCAACTAAATCGCAATGCGATCGATAATCGCAACGCGATCTTCGGTATCGCAAATCATTTCCAGATTCGCAACGCGAACTTCGACTATCGCAATGCGAACTTGGACTATCGCAATGCGAATATGTAAATCGCAATGCGATAGTCGAAGTTCGCATTGCGATAGTCCAAGTTCGCATTGCGATAGTCGAAGTTCGCGTTGCAATTTATTCCAAATTCGACTATCGCATTGCGATTTACATATTCGTATTGCGATAGTCCAAGTTTGCATTACGATTTATTCCAAATTCGTTGCGATAGTCGAAGTTCGCGTTGCGATTTATTCCAAATTCGTTGTGATAGTCCAAAATCGCAACGAATGGTGGTATTGCATTTGTTTCTTAAGAATTTTCTCTAAAAATATAGTATTCGCGCGGACGTGTCGAAGACACGTATTACCATAACCACGACCACGACCACGACCACGACCACGACCACGACCACGACCACGACCCGACCCGACCCGAGACGAGACGGACGGCGGCGGCGCGCGAGAGTTCCCCTTGTTCTCTATCACTCAACAAGGAAATGGGAAAGCCAAGCCTTAAATACCATTCCCAATAGTGTTTCCAATACTATGTGTGTAACATCCGCAATACTGGGTTAGTGACTAAATTGAAAAGTTTCAGAATTTGGTGATTAACGTATAAGAATGAAATAATTTAATGATTATTAGAAATATATGATGAAGGTTATTTAGTAATTATTAAAGGAAATTAAGGGTTAAATGGTCATTTGACCAGAAAGATTTTTATCTTTCTTTTAAAGGTGATATAAACGTGGGAAATGAGAAACATCTAGAGTTCTCTTCTCCTTTCTTCTTCTTCATACGTGGGAGAGCAAGGCAAATGTGAGAGTTTTATTAGTTGATTATTATTTGAATTTTAAGTTTGGTTTTGATCTTTAGTTGATGGATAAACTTAAGGAAAGCTTGGGTTACGGTAAAATCAAAGAATGGAGGGGTTAAGGGAGATTAAAGATTTGGAGTTTTTATATGAAATTTGGAAAAGAATTGATAAGTAGAATTTGAAGTTAATTTGACTTGTCAATAGTTAAATTAAGAGATTTGGAGTGATATAAAGGAATTTAGAACATGTTGAAATTTGAGTATGATTATTGAATTTCATAAGATGAAAGGTTTTTGAGAATTAAGATGGGATAAATGAGTACAAATGGGTTTAATTATGTGTGTTTGAATTTAGTATATAAAAGAGGTTGAAATAGGAAGTGTTTAAGTTGAAATGAAGTATTTTTCGTGCTGAAAATGTAATTCTGGGCTAGGGGAATCGGTACCCATTCAAGGGGAACCGATACCCCTTCAAGCGAATAAATTTCCAGAATGTCATGGGGGAACCGATACCCCCACAGGAGGGAACCGATTCCCCCTAAAGGAAAATTGTAAATATTGGTTTAATAAGTTCGTTTAAGTTGCTAGTATCAAATTACAAGGTGTAGGTATCTAATAATTGTCTTAAAATGTATAATTATGTAGATTCAGAGCCTAAACGAGTTCCATAATCATTGACAAGTAAGATCGATAAAAAGGGAAGATAAGAGATTGGAATGGACTAGTGAGGCCAGGTGAGTGCATACAAGTTAGTTTATGATGTTTAATGGAAATAAGACTTGCGACGAGTCTATTTCCTATATTATAATGCATTAATTTATGATCATAGGCATATGTTTGATTTGGGTATATGTGATATATATTACAATATGTGTTAAATGATTGTGTGAATACATGTATTGTGATAAGTATAGGAATTAATATGAATGGTCTATATGATTGCATGGGAATGTGATATTATATGAATATATGAATATAACGTGTAACTTTATGAGGATAATATGATATTATATGAATATAACGTGTAACTTTATGAGGAAGAATTGGGTGTTATATGATTTAGGTATGAAAATGATCTATGCGTAAGTAAATTACGTGATTATGTGACTGTGTGTGAAATAGAGTAAATTAGGTACGTATAAGGTATGTAAATATATGGCTATGGAACAAAGTATGTAATAATAATACAATGTTATTTGATTTATGATTTTGATATGTGCATGGATACATGAAATGGATATAGGTTATTATATATGTTACATGATTATATGCATGTGTGATATGTGCTATGAGACATGCCAATGTGAAATGAAATAAGCCAAGTGACTATATGAAATATGTGATTGTAAGATCAATGATTACACGTACATGTGGTACGTGACAGAAAGGAAATGATATGAATAAGTGAAGTGAACTGTTATAAATGACAATGCCCATGTTATGTGTCATGAGAGCTAGGGGTATAATTGGCATGCCAAGAGTCGAGGGTCTATGTTGTCTTTCGGGACATATATGTATTCTTTGGAACATGTGTGAAGTCTGGTGAGACACATACTTGATCCTTGACATATGTATATGATTCTTAAGGAATGATATGTGGTCCTTCGGGACATATATGTATTCTTTGGAACATGTGTGAAGTCTGGTGAGACACATACTTGATCCCTAATATATGTATATGATTCTTAAGGAATGATATGTGGTCCTTATGGACATTATTATATGGCACTACGGTGCAATTCTACGCGGCACTACGGTGCAATTCTATGTGGCACTTCGGTGCATTTATATGAGATGTGGTGACAGCATTAGTGCATAACCTCCATAAACTCACATATCTATAGTTCTCACATATGTACATGGGCTAATCAAGAGATATAAACAAATATATGTTAGTGGTATGATAAATGTTATAGAAATGATATGATGTTGTGTGTGTATAGTGTTTGATTGAAAAGGTTAAGCATAAAAGTATGTGATTACATGATAAACTGTTAATGATGAGTTATGTGTATGTATGTTTTACTGTAATTAATCTGATATGATTTTATATGATACTAAGAAAGCATGTAATTTGGTATAACATGATAGAACAGAACATGCATGTATTGATATATGTTATAAAGTGCATTATAAGTTTTTATGCCTCACTAAGTCATAGACTTAGCGTGTGATTGTTTCACACGTAGGTTTCGAGAAGAGTAAAGAGTAATGCGAGCAAGACAGGTCAGTTCTCCTTACCAAATGTCAGATCAGAAAATATATGTACTGTATATAGAGTGTAGTTGGCATGTAGTCTAAAGATATAAATTGTATGAACTCTGATATATTTTGTAAACGTTTTGAATAAGTTAAATGTTATTAAAGTTTTTAAATTACTCACTATTTTATACGAATAAATGTTTGAAAAGTCAATGTGACACTTCAGACTCGTATCCGGGTCGGATACGGGTTGGGGGTGTTACATTTAATGGTATCAGAGCTAAGGTTTAGCCGATTCTCGGCATAAACCGAAGTCTAAAGTATCATAAAAGGTGTACATGCCAACATAGAGTGAAAAATTTCTGATCTGATAGTGTAAGGAGTATGTTGTTTTGCTAATAGAATAAGAATAGTTTAATACAGTAGAAATCCGATCGTGATAATTTCGAAGTAAGTGAAAGGTGATATTCCTGATTATGATAGCTATTCACCTGCCCTGGCCAGGCAGGATGAAGAGCGGACACCTCAGGAAATGCCTAGTAAGATCAAAAGTTGATTTCAGAAAGCTGAAATCATATCTGAATAATGATAGAAAGTTTTCATTGTTTTGAATCGGAAACATGATATAGAGTAGTTTTGTTATTATGTGGATAAGATAGAATATGGTGAACAGGTGTCACCATAAGAATGTTAAAAAGATCTAATGACGTGGTGAGTACGTATAGAAGAACTCAAGGATAAGTGCATCAGTGACAAGTGTATAAGATGTATAAAGTCAGAGCTTATGAGTTTGAAACGAAGTGATAGTATTGCGCATAAACAAGAGTATGTTTATGATAAGGGTTTGCAGTTAAGAT